ATAGTCTCAACTTTCCATATGCTATACAGCTCGTCATAATTCGCAGATGCCAATCCGATATGGTGATTTACTTCTGGATCAATGTCGCCATTGTTAAACAACACAGTTCACAAGTACTTGAAATGGTTCACTTCGTCCATCGTAATACCACTCCATAATCTCCTTAGACCGTTGGTCACGGCTGGCGCCCTATAATCTTCATCATTTTGGCGCTCACCAGTAGTCCCATTCAAACAACAGTGCTGCACTGACTTTCGGTGAGTGCCAGCAGACCACCTGCGGAGTCAATCAGCACTATGAAATCATCGGCATATTCAAGCTCAGTTAAGAATATCGCCGAGTATCACGAGCCGTGTCACTGACTAACGGTCACTCCTTTGTCGCAACTGGGATGACGAACTTTTCGTTTAATGAAATCCGTCATGACGTTGAATAATAAGAAGAGTATCTCGCCTCGACTAACTTTACTGGTAGCGTTGAAACAGTCCAATAGTAACCCATCACCTCGGATAGCGCATTTAGTTCCCTCCTACAGACATTCTCTGAGGATTACCATCGCCCGTGGAATCCCGTGGTGACGAACAAGACGCAACCCTGTTTGGCGATGAACTGTATTGAAGGCTGATCTGGAAGTCTAGAAACGTCACGCACCAGGAAAGTTGGAACCTCCAGTGATTCGATTTAGCACAAACATGTAGTCTGTAAAAGAGTGCCCACTTACGGCCGCGAACTGTAAGTCCATTGATTTAGTCTTGAAAAGGTGCAAAACTACGTCTATCTGGAACAGTTCATTTCTACAACGGTCTGGAAATCAACAGGGGCATAAAAATGGCATGGAGCACTTTTGGAAGACTAAAAGTGTTTCTATTTTATTTATTTGCTAATTAATTTTAGCTCAGGTTTGCTATATTTATGGTGCAAAGAAGGATTTTTAAAAGATTCAAGCAAGAATCAGACATTACGGCTTTACGAGAACTGAGTGATGCAGATACTGCCTACATAAATGGAAGACTACTAACCTTGCCGTGAAGAAACCTCATGTAAAACAGACTGAAATTTCTGTACTGATCCATCACCCGATAATCCACTGAATTGCGCTGCGTAAAAATAAACCGTTGCATTCTGTATTTTAATGTGACTACAGCAATGAACAAAATGCTCTATCTCTGAAAAAAATGTTGCTCGTTACTACATTTCCTAGGGTAATAAACATGGTCAAAGCATTAACTCTCATGCAGTCATTTTTATAAATGGTGATTGACATTGGCCATTCATAAAAGTCTCACCGATAGCATGTGCCAGACGTTCATATATGTCTGGCTTAGCAGCCAACGCCTTTATCTGAGCTACACGCTGTGGTGGCAACTTGCTCCTGAAAAGTTGAAGAATGGGAGTTAATATTAATTCTTTTCACCTCATAAACAACAAGAAACTTACGCCAAGTCTTGCTGCTTCAGTCTATGCGCGTCGATCTTCCTGTAGTGCAGCACATCGATGTACGTTCTGTACACCGTTTTAACGAGTCTTTTTCGTGGATTAACCCTCAGTGGGACTACCCGATATATACCGGTAACGGTTACTCTAAACATTATTTTTAATATCTATTTATTGCTGAATGTTCACATTTTCACGCGATCCATACGTATAGAAAATAACAGGAATGCTCGAACCACAGTTAACTTTACGTACACACGTAATGTCTGAGAGTAGCATGACTTAGCAAATGGAGAACAAACTGATTAATTAAAAGTCAGGGTTAGAATTACAGCTAAAGTTCCCTCATCTTCATTCGAAACATGATTAAACCAATATCACTGTGTGCATGAAGGAGTCAGGAAAACACGCGCTGTGCTGAACAAAATAACTGAGATAATGCGATAATAAATAAACTGCTTCATACAACGGAGCAAAAATAAGCATATGGCACATAAAGAAGCGTATCCAAAACGCAGTCCATTGTAGAAGTGGGAGAAAGGCTGACATACCAATGGTGAGTTTCCTTTTCCAATACACAATAGCAATCATAATTAAGCGCAAGAGCAAGAGGTCTACAAGAGCGTTGCTGCCATTTTTTTGTGATGATGTGAGGGGGGATGGGGCTAGGCAAGCCACTCCATGGCATCTGAGTATCTGCACTCTGCAAATATCTTTCTTCATTCTTCCTATTACGCCAATCACTTGGTTGCTACTAATAATACTTCAGGATCCGGTAGTACCAAACACGCTTCACCTGTACAACCAAATATGAAAAATGCTGCTAACTAACACTTTAATGATTTACCAATAGCAATTTCTACCATGTTGCCGACAAAGTGTAATCTGTACACAGTAAAACTATTCAAACCAGAAATTAAAGTATTACCGATCCCCTGGTTGAACGCTATCGACCAAATTTCCATGAGCATAAAGTGAAACTGTACAGGGCGTTTCACCTGCAGGCATGTCATCTAAATTCAAATCAATAGAACGAATGATAAAAAACAAATAATAGAAAGCTTGAAATTTATTCATCAACAAAATCTTTAGACTTTTCGAAAAATTTGGTGGCAAAAAACTTTCTACCAGCATCAAGAATCTATTTACTATATTTACCACTAACAAATTTGCAATAAATAGATGTTATAAATGTAGAATATCTGCAGTAATGCAAGAATTTTGTCGATGCAAAAATGAATGACTAAGAAAATATCTTCCATTTTTGGAATAACTTAAAGGAAAGCATAAAATTTTGAAACCGCTTTAACTTCGCTAAATACTGCCGCTTTGTCTGACAAATTCCCTTTGACAGGGATCATCTGAACCGCAGCATGAGTCACTCATCTACACATTCGCTAATTTTTAGTCAAATCATTGTTCACCCAAAACAGTCTAATGTCGTTCATTGCGCCATCTTCACTTTGATTTTCCATTCCTTCTCTTCCTTGGTATTAACAGCATTCGGACTCCATTGCTGATACAATTCTCAAGGTTTTCTTTTTACTTGCCAGAATTTACAGACAACGATCAGTCATCTATAAACTTATGATAAAGGTACTCTGCATGAACGTATTTCTGGTGTGATGTTTCTGGCTGAAATCGTACTCACTTGGTTCAGCGCAGAGAACTGTGCAACAGCTGTTGTACAGACTTTCCATTTCAAATAAATAGATATTTTCTTGTCACAAAGGAGGCAATTTATAGTTTTCGACTTGAAATAAGTCTCTTTGTCGATTCTCGTGGTCTGGGTGAACCAAAATACTTAAATGTTAACATCTGAAACAAAAGAACAGATTATATTTAATAAGTTCTTTGGTAATTTATTTCCTCACGCCAGAAACAGCTCGAATAATGCTCCTTATTTCCCATACTTATACATAAAAGAAACCGATCTTTCAGGAACTGCCCTTTACGCGATGGCTTCAGTCTCTACTCTTTTCGCATTATTGCCACATATTCTCACATATATTGTACAAAGGCTTCAAAATGGAAATGCTTCCGGAAAGTAATTATTGAGCGCTCCCATCTCTACCGAAAACAAAATATTAATTCAATGCTGATCCCTGATGGACCTTGATAAAACAAAGAATTCTTCAGCTTCATCTTATGCATTGCAAACCATCGTTGTAATCCCATTGTAAATGGTTAGGTAAGCCTGCCAAGTTGCATGCAGCCAGCTGGTTTTTCATGTCATAGAGTATTTTCTTCTTTAGTATCTTACATGCATTTTCCTTGGCTAAGAAAATCATGGGTAGCTAAACTGACTCCTTATTTCGGGGGTGAATTCTGCTTAAATCAAATCTGTCGCGGACCCATCAGGCATAATATTAAATTGGTTTTAAACAATAACAAGTTCCGTCTGTATATTATCTCATACAGCTTTGTGATTTAGCTGAGCAGCACAGAATTCTAGGGGGGCAATGAGCTATCATTTTGTATATCATGTCAAAACTATTTCAACATGACATTTTTAGCTTGTCAAGATTTCATTAAATCGTCTGACCTTCAGCTAAAGTATCAGGAGTTTACATAAGATAGAGATGCATAATTAAATCGACCACATCTTATATCGTCTTCTCTATTCTGTAAACAGGATTACACTAAACATATAGAAACCTGGACTAATATAGAAGCGATCATCAACAGTACCTGGTGATTCCTGTAATTTGATCACTTGTCTATCCATAAAAGCCGACCGATTGTGGATAAGCATGAAGCAGTGATTGGAATTACAATTCTGGCATATCGTCGGTTCCTCGATATGACCACGATCCACTTCAACTTCGTTCGTATTTTTGCAAATGGCGCATTCAAAGAAGGCCTGCCTCATTTCAGGTATCAGACCAGATATACGGATAACCATGCCATTGATCGTAATTAGCTGATCGATATCTAAAGAACGTAAATTGTTCACTGACGAAACACTGACTATACTGAAATAACTATGACTGTAAGTTGTAAGAAAAAGGAGTTAGCCGCTCATGAAGACAAACTTTTCAAAACAGTAGGTGTATCTCAGCAGACTCAAGTGATTAGTGCAAATAAGCCATGCCTTTCGTTGATAGAAAGCCTTGAACTCTCTATTCAATTTAGTACAGGCCACAAGATGATGTGGTTAACTACTGAAAAATACAAAACTCCAATACATCATTATGTTGGATTATGACAAGTGCTGTGTCACTGGAATTTTGAAGACTAGAGTCATGAAGAAGGAAAAAAAGGAAAGGAAAAGAATGCTGCTACTTCGGATTCATTAGTGATATAAATAAGGTAGAACTGACCGAAGAACTTCAGACTTAAACTTCAGACTTTCTTCTGTTATTCCAATGCAACGAGACGAAAGCACCGAAATTTTATGACGAATTTTTCACTACTGCGTTACGAGATGTTATTAACATTTTTCAGAAAGACTCTATCAGCTGCTTTACAGGTAGAGGTTAGATCATCCATCTAAATAATGGCCTCAATGAAAAGTAACTTTGGGTAACTCTGAATTTTAGATTCGATTCAAATAGTACATGATCAAAATCCAGTGAACCAGGGTCAGGCATATGACTGATTAAATTGTTAAGAAGCAAAATCGTCCAACTTCAACTTAATCATACCGCATTGCTCACTTTGCATCAATCCGAGCTACACATACCGCTTACAGCATCAGAAGTTAACGTGATTCAAGCTACCGGCTAAGTGATTCAGTGGTTCAAAAAACAAGATCCTTCATTTGATTTGTGGGCGATTCAGGAATGTAAATCGACGCTTCTTCAACATTCTCTCTTCTTAAGCTATTTTTGAGTGAGCGGTTGTTCAGCAGTCCATGCGGAGTGCCACCGTCATGAGCTCTTAGCGATGGCTCCAAACCTTCGATGAGCGAATCGGATTCAGATGAGTTTAGTACTCTGTGTCGATTTTGTCATGAACAAATATCATTGGCGAGTGGTGGACAGTGGTCGTCTCAACCCACCAAAACGGACTCCTGCACCATTTCTAGGCCTTCACTTCAGCAGAAGTAAAAAATGAAATTTTGAAATTATCCTAATCAATTTCACAAGATTGTTTATAAAACAAATACCACTTCTTGAACTCAAGCTTTGATCTGATCAGGGTTGCTTTTGGTAGATTTACTCACTTCAGAATCGAGACATTCTGAATTCGAGTCCTGGTCACATCACTCGCATTTCATCCTTCCCAGGTAGACAAATGAATAACACTTCTTGGAAACGAAAAAAATTCGCAACACACAAAGACTTCTGGATAGTTTGTAGGTAAAATGAAGGACACACTATTGCATCATGCAAGTATTATATTCTCGTCTTAAAGGTGAAAAAGTGACTGGCATTTTGGGGTATTCTAATTGAACATATGCCCATGATCGGAAATTCTTCAAGGCCAAAACAACGCATCGATGTCTTCGGAGACCAGCGATGACTGAAATACCCGAATGAGATGACGAGGAACACCCTCCTAGCCGCTACGACAGGAGTGAAGATAGGTCATGGATATGAAAATTTTCACTAATGAGGCACCACTGAAGAACTGCAAGGCTGTAAGCCTAATTTTTTACCTCTGAATATATTCCTTTTTGAATTACAGGATCGCTACCAACAAAAATGTCTTTAGTAACATTGTGTTCGTCTTAACACCAGCCATCTATTTTTTAATGGCACAAAACAGTGGTCAGGTGCGCAAAAGGCGGCACACAGGAATTACCAAAAAGCAGCTGACGTGGCAACATCCTGTTAACGACTGTGAGCAACTAATTCCGTTTACAGCATCACCATAATTTTTCCTTGAATGTGAAATTTAAAAATTTTTGCTAGTAAATTTAAATAAATTCAAAACTCTTGTTTTCGCTTCAAATCCGCATTAGTCAAGAAAGTAGGTGATCTTCAATTACTGCCAGGGTGCAATGTTTCAAAGAATCTTGACTTCCTTAGTCATCTTCATTCGCTTGCCGGAATGAGACAGAAGAACAGCAACTTTTAGGAAGCAGAATTTCGCGATTTTATATTCAGCATCGTTCTATAACCTCCTGCGCAACTCGACACAGAAATGAACAATGGAATGAACACAATTAAAAACTAATTACCTTCGGGATTCAAACAGCGCATATTCTTTGTTCGATCGGCATTGAATGGCCTAATCTGAATCTGAGACTGCAATTCTGAATGCGGATAGGATTCGTTAAAAATTTCATTCGCAATGAAGTCCAAATAAGGGATTATATCCTGAAAATTTTAAATAGCAATGTACACAATAGTAAATCAACGCTTTTAGTTCTATATGCTGCGAGGAAAAGTTTTTGAAAGGAATGTCGAAAACATATGAACAAAACGCCGTAATAACAGCCAATGGGGTCGAAGGGAAGATTCTCATGACGCGAAAGTAACGGAGCTAAGAGACTAAATGAGTCTCAGAAAAATGACACGAAGTAGCACAGCATACTCTCAATCGTCTGAAATGAAAACTAACGGTTATTTGACTATCAGAACAATGGTTTCATTTGGTGCCAATTTTCAGAACAACGAAAATGTTTTCCAAAGTCAACAAACTACGTTAGTCCTAAATGGCCAGTGAGATATGGCTGAAACGTCGATACTGGGGAATCATCCGATTGCCCAACTCTTTCATTTGCGTATAAATAAACCATGTCTTACGCAGTTTCCAACAACTGTCTCGCATTACTGTGGCCCTCTCGTTATTTTATCTCCAAGATTAATGAAAAAACATTTGGTTGAAGTTATGATTATTATTATTACGAGAAAATATTACTCTTGCTGCCAACCATGGTATCAAAAGATCTATCAATTTCAAGTCATCTGCTGCATGGCAACGGTATAAGCCAAAGAAATTATTAGGCTGAAATTTAAAAAAGCAAAACATTTAATTGTACATGTATGCCCTTAAAATTGGATCGCCAGAAAGCAAGAAAACTACTTACCGCAGGATAACATATTATTTGCCTATACAGGGTTTCATCAAAAGCTTTGATGTGCTGCAAGTTTACGTTTAGGTATGGCTCTTCGGTGTTGAAGATCTATAACAATCGGTTCAGAGACGTGGGAAATGAAAAGCAAACAAACCTCATGCAGTCGCTGCATATAATAAGGCTCATCTGCTTCTGCGGCTGCGCTTTGTTTTCCTGATTCATCGATAATCAGCTCGTCTTCTTCGAGCGCCATGTTCACGTACTCCTTGATGAATCGTGAGAAGCTCAACTGAACGTCCGTGACGCAGATGCGGGTGCCCCATACAAAGATTCTGGGGCCTTCTTGCTGGCTGGACGCAGGGCTCTGGGTAGCCTATGGATTGAAATCGTTTTCATTGGAAGAATAGC